TTATTATTTATTTAGAGTAAATTATTTATTTATTTTCAGAGTTAAGAGTTGAAAAACTCTAAAATCAAACTAATCACGGTAAGGAAATCAAATTAAAGATTCAATAATTGTATTATAAATTTTAAAACTTTAATGACCAGAATATAAACTCTCTAAATATTTAATGACTATTTTTGTAGGTTACCCTAAATTGCTTTCTGCAATGTAATCTTCTCTCAGCAAGGCAATAACCGTTGCATACATCATTTTCACCAGCAACTTTGTCACGCGCAATCAGGTCGCGTGCAGCTCTACTCCCCGCCCTTTTTCATCGAGAACAATTGGTTTTGGTAAATAGAACTTAAACTATAAGCTCATTTATCGAAATATATCATTGTAAAAACGAAATACAAATTTGATATATATATCTCATTATTTATCAAAATAATATTTTTTTGTTAAAAATTCTAAAATGATATTATTGATTAGACACAAGAACGGACGTAAAATTTTATGTTATGGATGAATTTAAACTTATAAAATTTTATAAGTCTAAAGATGAAAATAATATTTTAATAAAAAGGACAGAAAAAAACTTAAAATATAAAATAATTTTAAAATTGCAAGGGAGTCACCGTTCCTCATCCATGCCTGATTGGGCATATTTTTACGTACGTAACACTCGAAATTTGTATACAATTATCTTTCAAATTTAGCAGTGTACTGACAAAAAACTTTCACAAGCTTCCAAAAGCTAAATTGAAATAACCATCAAATTGCAGATGGAGAATAATGGCACTATGATGAAATATAAGTTGTGAAAAGAAATTTTCAGAATAATGACATTGTTCAGTCACAAGATCTACTGTAGAAAGTTTAATGTAGAGGAAATTCAAGTAACAAACTCCATATCAGGAGAGTCCATCTCAAAATGTTGTCCCAAGTTGTACATGCTCTCTCCCAACATGCATGACAAATACGTTTGCTATCAACAACAAACCTAAAGTTCTTAAGCCCTCAAATCCTCATCAAATGAACGGCGCTCCTTCAATATTCAAATTCCATAAACATTTTCACATCCTTGCATGCTCAATCTCCCGTTGTTGTCAACAAGCAAATTCACTTTATCTAGGCTATAAATAAAGAATACAAAACAGGAATATGCAATGCATGTGTAACTTGTTCAGTAATGTCACTTATGATCCACTTCCATAAGCATTTCAAATTGTAATTGTTCCCCTCACTCCACCACCACACACACACACTAATCTACCTCCCAGACCAATTCATCTTCAAATGAAAATGTTTAGAACAATATTGGAGAAAAGAACTACTAGGAAGATGCATCCAGCTTACAATCAGATTCAATAGTTAACTTTCTTCATCAAGAAAATCAATTTTTTTTATTTTGTTTACCCTCTTTTGGTGTATCGGCAGTCACAAACCCTATTAAACAACCATTTCCACCAACATTTTTCCTTTCCGAGGAAGAGAATACATTCTTGCACCGAAAGTGCAATCTAATTACAACCTCTTATGTGAGTTTTAGAGAAACTGAAACTGTCTCTAGGAATTTTATTTACTTCTCACTTGACTTACAAAGTAAAGAGACTATTCTAATTTATAGAACTTTGCAACACATAATTCTTAACAAACTATTTAAAATTAAAACTAACAGCCTAGTGTTTAGGGATCTCTAACCGATAAAATCTATAACCAATTCTCCCCCTCAAGCTAGGGAGTATACATTGTAGAGCCCCAGCTTTGATGTAAGCTCATCAAAGGTGGTTTTTGGAAGTGCCTTGGTGAGTATATCAGCTAGTTGTTGGTGAGTGGAAATGTAGTTGAATTTAGCAGTCCCATTTGTAACCTTCTCTGAAATGAAATGACGATCTATCTCCACATGCTTTGTCCTATCATGATGCACCGGATTCTTTGCAATACTGATTGTCGATTGATTATCACAATTGAGGTCAAAACTAGTGTCATGATTCAACCCCAATTCTACCAACAATCGTTGTATCCAAATTCCTTCACAAAGCCTTTGTGCCAAGGCTCGAAACTCAGCTTTTGCACTACTCCTTGAGACCACATTCTATTTTTTACTTCTCCGTGTCACTAAGTTGCCCCAAACACGAGCACAATACTCGGTTGTTGACCTCCTGGATGTGAGTTCACTAGCCCAACTTGCATCTGTGAAGATTTCAACCTTTCCGCTTGAGTTTTAACAAAAAACATTCCATGACCTGGAGTAATTTTCAAGTATTTTAAGATCCTGATTACTGCCTCTAGATGTTCCTCCTTAGGATCACTCATAAATTGGCTTACAATGCTCATTGTGAAAGCAATATCTGGCCTTGTAAGAGATAGATAAATGAGCTTACCTACTAATCGATGATAGTGTCCCTTGTCAACTAGAGAACCACTACCATCAGTTCGAAACTTTAGGTTGTACTCTATGGGTGTCTCAGGAAGCTTGCAGCCCATCATACCAGTTTCAGATAACAAATCCAAAAAACATACTTCCTTTGATTTATCACAATGCCACTACTTGCTCTAGCCACTTCCATACCCAGGAAATACCTTAAGGAACCAAGGTCTTTAGTTTCAAATTCCTTTGCCAAGAAATTATTCAATCTCGAAATTTCAGAAAAATCATCACCAGTGATGATTATATCATCAACATAGACTATTAGAATAGCCTTCTTGTTCCCGGAAGTTGTTTTAACAAACAAAGTGTGATCATCCTGGCATTGACGATAGCCGAAGTGTAAAACAGCTTTGGTAAACCTCTCAAACCAAGCACGTGGCGATTGCTTAAGGTCATATAAAGACTTTAGGAGTTTGCAAACTTATCCCAAATTAGAATCGAATATAAGCCTGGTGGTTTCTACATATACACTTCCTCCTCCAGAGTACAGTTGAGGAAAACGTTTTTAACATCGAGCTGATGAAGTGACCAATCTAAATTTGCAGCAAGAGACAACAATATGCGAACAGTGTTGAGTTTTGCAACTGGTGCAAAAGTTTTTTGATAATCAATCTCGTAAGATTAAGTGAACCCTCTTGCCACCAATCTAGCCTTGAATCGTTCAATACTTCCATCCGCATTATATTTAACTGTAAATATCCACTTGCAACTTACAGCCTTTTTCCCGGAAGGTAAACCAGTCATAATCCAAGTTTTGTTTTCCTCTAATGCCTTAATCTCGTCTTCAATAGCCTTTCTCCACCTAGGATCCTTTAAGACCTCATCAATAGTTTTAAGAATAGAAGCAAGAATCAACCTTGGTTGTAAAGGCCTTGAAAGCCCGCATAAGCCTCCCATATGCCACATATTTTTGAATTGGGTGCTGAGTACAACTCCTAACACCTTTCCTTTGAGCTATAGGTAAGTCAGAAGAATCAATTAAAGGAGCAATAGTCGTATCATTCAAAGTTGTCATACCTTCGTCATCATTCAAGAAAATTGGAATCGGATCAAGTTCTTGAGCACTCCTAGACTGTGTAGTAGGTTGTTTCTTCCTCTTCATATAGACACTGATTTCTCTAGCTTCAGGCCGAGATAGAGCAATTTCGGGTAGTGAAGAAGATTCAATTGGTGGTTGTGGTAAAGTTGGCAATGGGTTGGAAAGGGAAGAGGTAACTAGTATATCAAGGGGTAAAAGAACCTGTTGGAGCTTAAATTCATTCAAACTCTCCTCTTGAATTTCAGAATTGGGAAAATAAGGTTGAAACTCATGAAAAGTAACATCCATGGAGACAAAAAACTTTCGAGTAGTAAGGGAATAACATTTGTATCCTTTTTTAAGAGAAGAAAAGCCAAGGAAAACACACTTAACAACCCGATGATCCAACTTACCCCGAAACTGTTTATGAATATGAACAAAAACAGAAGATCCAAAAATTCTAACAGGAAGGGTACAAGACAAGGGCTTAAAAATGGATAGGTTTGAAGTAACACCTCTATTGGAGTTTGAAATTGCAAAATTCGACTAGGTAAGCGGTTTATAAGGTAGGTGGCAGTAAGTAAGGCCTTTCCCCAAAATCGTTTAGGTACATTAGCTGAAAACAACAAAGAACGGGTTACCTCGAGAAGGTGTTTGTTTTCCCTCTCTGCCACCCCATTTTGTTGGGGAGTATCAACACACGAGCTAATGTGAATAATGCCTTTGTCACGAAGAAAGGAATCCAAGGTTTTGGTAAAAAACTCACTGCCATTGTCACTTTTAAGGATTTTGATGTGGCTTCCAAATTGGGTTCGAACCACATGATAAAAAGTTCAAAAAATATTATCAGTTTCGGATTTGGTTTTCATTAAATACGTCCATGTTGTTCGAGTGTAATCATCAATAAAGGACACAAACCATTTAACCCCAATTACATTAGGAACAGGCGAGGGGCCCCAAATATTAGTGTGAATAAAAGAGAAAAGTTGGGATGGTTGATACAAAGAGGATGGAAAAGAGGATCGTTTATGTTTGGCAAGTTGGCATACATCACAAGTAAAAGAAGCTGGTTTTTTATTGATAAATAATGCAGGAAACAACTTTTGAAGGAAATAAAAATTCGGATGACCAAGGCGAAAATGCCACAACATAATTTCATTAGAATATAAGGATGATAAAGTGGAAGAGAAACAACCAGAAGAAAAGGAACAGCCTGATCGAGCTTGTCATGGAGCAGGAGAACAACCTTCAATAATGTAAAGACCACTACACAGTTCAGCACTGTCAATCATCCTCTCCGAGTCCTTTTCCTGAAAATTACAGCAATGAGAATTGAAATTGATAAAGCAATGGAGATCAGTGCACAATTTGCTAACAGACAAGAAGTTACACTGCAATTGAGGAACATATAAAACAGACGGAAGCACAAGATCCTTGGTAATGGCAAATGTGCCAATGCCTTTTACTGCTGTTAAGGAACCATCAGCAGTCTTTACAAACCGCTGATCAGTAGGCTGGTGGAGGTCAGTGAACAAGGGTCGGTTTCCTGTCATATGATCAGTGGCGCCAGAATCTTTCGAGCATTGTTGTGTAAAGTTCCTCATTGAAAGTAGTTTTTACACCAAATAACTTTTTTTGGCTTCAAACTGATCCCAATTCCTAATTAATGCAATTATGTAATTGTGTGTGCATATCGATAATTATTAGTATCACGAAATAGAATATTGCAAATATTAAGTGAAACACGCGCACACATGATTATCAAAATTTGTTGCTACAAGATTTAAACAGAAATTCCATAGCAACTAATATTTCAGAAACAAATATTAATCTAGAAACTATACAGCCGCTCCATGTTTTTCTTGACACCTTGATTCTCTCCGGTACTAACTAAACGCATTAAGCAACATTTACCAGACTAGAGTAATATCAAATCTTGAAATTCCTAAAATCTTTTCCCCAAGCTATTTATTGAAGGAAAATAAGGCACGACAAATAAAAAAAAAGGAACCGGGTTTGATATATAGAAACAGAGATTGCCGTAGATATAAGAAAAATACTTTGGATGCAAGTGGCTAAAGTAATAAGACGACAGAACAATAAAAATCATAAGACAATTTTTCAAAAGAGAGAACATTATTGCAACCTATTCCATGGGCTGTCAAAAACATTTTCTAGTTCAGTACACCATGGATCATCTTCACCAGGAACCCAGGGCTCTAAAACCCTCCCTACTGCAACATGATGGGATTGTGATATCGCAGAATCTATCAAAAGTTCTTCATGTTTTCCTGCTGAAGTTCACATGCAAATCCATCCCGGGTTACAGCCACATCCTGGAACCATTTTTTGAACAACAAAATTAATATAGAGGGTAAAATAGATAAAATAGGCCACATTCTGTGTTAACTAAGTTTTAATTTTCAAGTACCATTAACAAATATCTAACTGAAATAAACTTGATAAAGCTTTTGGAAGCCTCACTAACTACATGACATTTCATCTGTCACTATTAATTGGGCCAGATATGGGGCTGTAAAGAAGAGAATCAGCAAAACCTTCGCTATAACTTGCACAAGTTATTTGTCAGGTACAATTAAAATCTTTGAGGTTGCCTTGCTAACAAACTGTGTTATAGGTTTGTCGCCTAAGGTTGTAAAATCAGGTAATCGAACAGGTTTCAGTAAAATCTTGGCATGTCGGGTAAAATCGGGTATAGGTCAACTCAGGTTGATTTGAGACCAGATCCAGATCGAGTTCAGGTCATGTCATTTTTAGTTCGGATCGATGCCAGTTCAGGTCCAAAGCAGATAAAGAACAGGTTAATTCAGGTTCGGGTGGACTTCAGTCGGATCTCGTTCAGATCGGGTCACATCATTGACATATAAAATTCAGGTCGGATGTTTACCGGATATAGATTGAGTTCAGCTCGGGTCGTTTCCATTTTTGGATTAATTATTTTGTCATCTTTCATGATTGTTGAATTACAAGTTGTAATTATAGATGATTTCGAGTAAATTAAGACAAAAATAAATATTCATGGATCAATTTTGTAAAAAATATAAATTTAAGGACAAAATTGAAGAAATGTAAAATTACAAATAAAATTTTAAAATATAAATTAAACAACACACATATGTAAGGGACTAAATAGAAATAAATTTAAAATGTGAAGTTTAAATTAATATAAAAATGACTAAATTAAACACATTTAAAAAGTTATGGACTAGTTAAAAAAATATAAATAACAACTAACAATGGGGCAAATGAAGATGCAAATATAAATTTAAGGACTAAATTGAATACATATAAAAGTAAAAGACTTAAAATTGAAATAAATTAAAAAACACAAAAGGATTAAATTGAAATAAATGTAAAATGTGAATAAATAATGAAAAATATAGTAAATTGCATTTATTTAAAAAATTGAAAAAATATAATATATATATAATACAAGTTTATATATAAATTATATATATAAACTATATTTATATTATAAACTATATAATTATTATAAGCTATATATATAAATTATGTTTATATGAACTATATATATATAAACTATATATGTATAAACTATAAAAAGTATATAGTTTATAAATTGTAATTTATATTAATAATACATATATATATATATATATATATATATATATATATATATATATATTATTCAAAGTGAGTGGTGGGAGAAAACTTTTTAAAAGAAAGATTTTTTTTGTGTGAAAATTTTGATTTTATTTGGAAATTTAGAGGGAAATTTAGAAATTTTGAGAATATAAGGAAATTGAGAATTTAGAGGAAAATTGAGAATTTAGAGGGAAATCGGGAAATTTAGAGGGAATATAAAATTTTGGGAAGTTGGAGCCAATGATAGTGTCCAACAAGATATTCTGGGTTAATTAGGCTGCTGCTCCTCCAACAATAATCATTTTTCCACTTGTTTTTGATTTTTTATTTCTTTCATTTAAGTCATGGTTTAATTGTAAATATCTTCTTGAATTTTTAATTCGATGTAATTTAATCTTGTATACATTCTAATTACTTTTAATTTTCTATATATATGTATGTATATAAACTATATATGTATAAACTATATAAAATATATAGTTTATAAATTATAATTTATATTAATATAGTATATATATGTATGTATAACTAATATAATTAATCTTTAGATTATATATATATATATTATAGAAATACTATGCATAAACTATATAAAGTAATAAAGTATATAGTTTATTAAAAAACTCTAAACCCTAAACTTTAAACCATATACACACTAAACACTAAATCATAAACCATAAACCCTAATATAAATGAACTAGCACTAATGCATATATATTTGTAATAAAGGAGTGAGCTTATGTATTAGGCCTATGTAAACTAATGTAAATGGACAAGTACTAATGCAAATGGACTTATTTTTTTGTTTTATTATTACTTATTAGGGGTGGGAATAGGCCAAGCTCAGGCCTTTTAGGCCTGGCCTGTAGCCTATCAAAGACTTTTATTTTTGACTCGGTCTGGTCTTTTTAAATGTCTGGCCTGGCCTGATAACCTGTTTATCGTTAATTTAGTTGGACACATATATATTGGTACCCAAAAAAATAATATAAGTATTATAAACACCAATTTTTATCTACCTTGCAGGATGACAAGTAACATTGGTTACTGCTACTTTTGCAGAGAAAAAGAAAGGGTAAGTTAAGCTTTATCATATTCCTTATACGGACCCCATATCTACGTGAGATGCAGTTACCTTGTCCCATGTTTTGGAGCAGTTAAATGACACCTTGGCTCAAGCTTTTCATGTTTTTGAGGCACCATACGATCATTCTTAAAAGATGGATAATTAATTGTGGCATTAGCAAGTTTTTAATTAATTAATGTATGGAATTGATCCTTTCACCCTGCCGACAGCAGCTCCCATACTTTGTTGTTCCCCACGTCACACCATGCCCGATATTAGCGCTCATCCCCTGCGCTTTGGCATCACTGAACACATGGATAAAGACATAAATAAAATTTCTCAGCATATATATATATATATATATATATATATATATAGGCCGACCTATCAGGCTTATAAGGTTTGTTAATAAGCCTAAGTCTGGCCTATTTAATTTAATAGACTTTTAAAAAAGTTCGAGCCTGATCTTTTTATTAAATAGGCCAGACCAAGCTTTATGTAGGCCAAGTCGTAGGCCTCTGTAGACTGGCATGGCCTATTCCCACCCTATTACTTATTCATAACAACAAAATAGATGGGCTATTAATGTGAATTAACCTAACATGCAACTAAAATACTAATTATGAACCATATAATATGCAATGTGACATACTAATTATTTAACACCTAATTAATCACGTTTTATATCATTTACATTTAAATAATTTTATTAAATAATTTTATATAATATGTATGTATAAACCATGTATATATATATATAAACCAGTTAGATCAAAATGTTGTTTTGATTAGTTGTCTATGTCAACAACAGTTAGCCATGTCGGTAGTTATTAGCCATGTTATCATGTCTTTAATGATTCAGTGATATAATTAAAACAAAAATCAAAATTCAGCATTATAATTGGTAAGATTAAAAGTTCAGTAGTATAAACGATACAACGTCTAAAGTTTGGTGCTATATAATTTAGTTTACCCAAAAATGAAAAACGAATAAAACGTGGACCCCATGCGATGGCATCAACTCAAGCATGAAAAATGCACTTAAGTAGGAAAAAAGCAAAAATAATTGGGGAAAAAGTAAAACCATTCAAAACGCTCCAATTCTTGTTCATTTCGGCGCGGAAATTTCAAATTTCCCAAACCAAATTTGAATCACGAGGGAAACCCGATCAAAAAATAAATCCAAACTCCCAAATTTAAATCCACTTGTAGTAATAAAGTAATAAAGGATTATGTTTAAATCATAAACCCTAAAACCAATAAAAAAACTAATTATATAACACTTAATTAATCATGTTTTATATAATTTACATTTAAATAATTTTATTAATTTTATTAAATAATATATAATATGTATGTATAAACCATGTATAGTATATATATATATATATATATATATAACCTATATATATATAAACTATATAAAGTAAATTACTTATATATTTTATAGAAATACTATGGATAAACTATATAAAGTAATAAAGTATATAAATTATAGAATCTCTAAATCCTAAACCCTAATTATAAACTCTAAACCCTAAACTTTAAACCATAAACACTAAATCTTAAACCCTAATATAAATGGATTGCACTATGCATATATATTTGTAATAAAAGAGTGAATTTATGTATTGGGCCTATGTAAACTAATGTATTGCCAAAATTATTTATATTAATAATATAAAACGTTAATATATATATTACATAATAAATATTTTCATTATTAATATTATTTTTTCTTTATATAAATTAAACTATATAATTTATATAAATTAAACTATATTATTTTTCCTTTACATTATTAATCATGATTTATCTATTATACATTTAAATAATTTTATATAATAGATCTATTTATTAATTTAATTATCATAATAAATATTTTATTATAACATTTAAAAAGTAATTATATTAATTTTTTAATTACATCATAAACTAAAAAACTCATAATTTTATTAAAATCTTATAATTTCGTCCATTGTAATATATAAGTCTGGTAAATATCAGGTCGGGTAATACCAGTTATTTACCAGGTCAATCTCGGTTTCGAATTCATATCAGTCGGATACAGGTCGGGTTTGGATTCACAATTTCTAGGTCCAACTCGGATTCAGGTAAACACCAATTCCGACTCGAGTCGGTTTCGCATCACTACAGCGCATGTTAAAAACAATTTTGACTCAAGTCGGTTTCAGTCAGTTTTACAAGTCGGGTCAACATTTTACAACCCTATTGTCGCCTTGCAAACTACCATCTTTTTCAAGTGAGCCATTTTCAGGATGAGTCCTGAAAAGGCAAGGAGTGGAAACGGATGTTAAGAAGAGAAAACAATGTATTCCAAAGTTCCATTACAGATGCGTGATTACAACAAAAAAACCAGAATCAAATAATTGATCATACCAAAATCGTTTTCTGCCTCAGACTTAGTTGCATGAAAAATTTCAGTGTAAATTGATCCTGTAACACTTCAACTCGTACCCGATCCGGATACGAGTCCGAATTGTCACATTGACTCTTTAAAACGATGTTCTTACAAAATAACAAAACGTTTGGACTTATATTAAGAAAATATGATCATATATTGTTGAATTATATTTCATTATAACAAATTTGAAAAAATACGTTTTCAATGAACAATACTATACGGTATGAATAGTATTATATTGTATAAACAATACCGTAAACAGTAATGAACAGTACCATAAACAGTACTGATTCTAAAAAATTTTCCAGAATGATGCATGGGTATCGATACCCTGCTACAGTGTACCGATACCCTTGCTACAGTAATTTCGTCTACTTATTAAAAGCTCATAAAATTTAAAATGTCCATCACTATACATTTATTATTTACCTATATACGTTTAAAATATTACAAAACTCAATCATATGATTTTACAAAACCGATTAAAATATATATATATATCGGATTCAAATCTTTATTTACATGCCAACCTCAATCAATATTACAAAATACAATCTATTCAATTCTTTTCCGATCTGATCTGTGGAAAGGAGAAACTGACATGTCTTGCATAACTTTTATTAATCTTTCTCTTCTCGAAACCTACGTGTAAAACGATCACACGCTAAGTCGTTGACTTAGTGAGGCATGAAAACATATGATATTACTCTACTCATATCAATGCATAAACAATTAATACTATCATATCATATAAAAGCATATCCATCACATATATTGTATTTGCTATTATTTCTTTATTAGACTATGATACACTAGTAAGAACTAAAGATATGTGAGTATATAGAGGTTGTGCACACTTATGCTGTCACCACAGCTCGTATAATAATCTGTCCATATGTCCCGAAGAACATAGGTAAATTATCCATATGTCCCGAAAGACATAGGTAATACTGTCCATATGTCCCAAAAGACATAGGTAATACTGTCCATATGTCCCAAAAGACATAAGTAATATTGTCCATATGTCCCAAAAGGCATAGGTAATCCCTCGACTCTTGACATGCCAACTATACCACTAGTTCTTATATCACATAACATGGGCATTATCATTTATAACAGTTCACATATTCACATCAATCATATAACATTTTAGGAGTCACTTCTTACCGTAGTAACTCTGTCACTGGCTCCTCGCAAGCCAATGTTTGATCAATAACATAAGTACAATTAAATTGCACTCACCTTAGCCTTGCTTGCTTTGACTTGATCCTAATTCTTTGATTGTTCCGGAATGAGATTACGTTCTATATCTACATAACAATACATATATCCATATCAATATTCCAATTGATATACTCTAATCTTTCCTTTCTTGAACTAAAGAAAGTGTTACTTTCATTTCTTGGACTAAACGAAAAGCTTAATTCCATTTTCTCTTAGGGTGGTATCGGTACCCCTATTGCAATCTGTAAATTTCGTTTAAGAGACTATCGGTACCTATTAAAAGGGTACCGATACCCCTTGCCCAGAAAATCACTTTTTAAGTCCGAAAATAATCAACTCTTCACTCAATTCTTCTATTTTAAGCCCCTATCATGCCATTAAACTCAACTACCATTACTTAAACCAACTTATATCTATATAAACCATCTTTATCTTCCATATCTCATCATGATTCTTAAAATTAAGAATCTTACTAAACTTTCAACTTTGTTATTAATCCTTTCTAACTTCATAAATCTCTTATTCTTAGTGATGACAAGTCAAATTTCTTCTCAAAATTCACTTATTAACTCTTTTCCAGAAATTCATCTAAAAACTCATTTTCTTTAATCTCTTCTATATCTTTCATCTTGTTGTTTTAGAACAAATTAAGCTTTCCTTAAGCTTAATTATCATCTAATGATCATAACTCAACCTTAAATTTAACCAGAAATTAACTAAATAGAAAACTCACCTTTGAGCTTGGAGATACGGGAGGAGAGGAAGAAGAAAAAGAAGAAGAAGAAGAAGAGAGTTTTGAGATAACTCTTCCCCTACTCCCACATGATTCATATTTATCAAAGAAAGAAAAATATATTTCTTGTCAAATGACCATTTTGCCATTTAATTCATTTGATACTTACTAATAACTTTCAGGAAATATTTCCAAATAAATCATTGAACTATTCATCTATTCTACTTTTATCACCAAATTCTGAAATTTTACAATTTGGTCATTAACCCGGTATTGAGGATGTTACAGATCCATTTTTCACATGGACTTGAACTGGATGCCCAATAAGACACTTTGTCAGATAAACTAACCAATCACGGGAAGAACATTCATAACCTCCAGTCCTCCCATAAGCCATATCACCTATACCAAGTAGTATTAGGAAAATATAATTAAATAGAAAGAAAATCGGATTGCAGAATGATGACCTGAAGTTTGTGTTCTTCCTTGATTGGATTTCATGGACTGCACCTTGTTCTCCACCCTAGCCCCAACCTCTCTACCACCTCTTCCATGGTCAAATCCATTAGCAGAAGATCTTGGAAACATAGCTTGTTTCATATTCATCTTAGAAGAAGGAAAAAAGTAAATAATAATTTTTACAGTTTAAATTCAATATTTTCAAGATTTAATTCTAAAATATCAGCACTTATAATATCAAAACCAATTAGTGTTAAATATAATTAAGGGGGCTTAGAAACCAGTGAATCATATAACCTAAAAATTATGCCAATAAAAGAACATATCTCTTCTTTCTTGTGTAGTTCCATGAAAAGAATGCTTTCATGTGTTTTAATATCTTACTATTGATTATTTATTTATTTTAAAAAATATTCATGTTTATTCATTTAACGTTCGTGAATATATTTATTCAACAACGTTTCAACGTTTCAACAACCAACACTATGTTTTTATTCTTTTATTTGCTAGTCAAATAAAAAGGGTGAAATTATGCCATTAGTTTTTAAATTTCTTAGGCTTCACAGTTTGAACTTAAAAATTCATTTTATGTTCACTTTACTTATAAATATTAAAAGGAAAAGGAGAATCGAGTAAACAAGCTTATAGACGAATCTATAAAAGAGCTTATTCGTGAATCAAACACACATTTCTTCATGTTCATTCCTTTATTAAACGAACATAAAAGTTTATTTATACTCATTCATGTAACTTAACAAACGAACATAAATGAACGTATGCGAACGATTCATGATAATTCATCGAACACTCTATTCCTTTAAACCAATAATAATACTATGAACTCTCCCCTCTAATTTTGGAACTAAATGAGATGATGTAAAATGGTTAAAACCCTCTCAACTTCTAAAAATGTGATTTTATTATAATTATTTTTTCTTTATCAAAAAATAAAAGTTTAAATAGCTTAATTATATTTAAACAATTTTAATCTACTCGATGAACAAACTAAAAATTGCATGAACTAACTTACCTCAGTGGTTAAAAGAATCGTTATTGTTATTTGAGATCACAGGTTCGAGCATCAGCAACTGCAGCAGAGTGATTGAGCATTTATTGTTAAATGTTTGAGAGTATTTAGAACAGATAATACCTTGAATCACCTTAACTAAAAAACGAATTTTTAAATTTAAGATGGAAATGCATGTAATCATTATGAAATTATTATGTGTATATAGATAATATTATTATATTAAATTAAATCCATTTTATAATTCAAATATTTCAAATTAAAATTTAGGGTAAAATACATATATAGTCAATCAACTATTAATTTTATTCCATTTGATACATTTAATTATTATTTTTCAAAATTATGTTTAAAGTTACGTTTTGACCATCCGCCTAAAAATTAACAGTGATATTTATGTATCAAATAAGGTAATATTACATAATTATTGAAAATTTTGTCAAATCAACAGTTATGCTTTATGTTTAACAAAGTGTGACCAAAACAAATTCAAAATGTAACGTTATATATGATTTAACGAACCAAACTACCTCAGCAATTAAATAAATAATTGTTATTCTTATCGGTTATAGGTTTGAGCACCAGAGATTATATGATATTTGAACGTTCATTATCAAATGATTGAGAGTCTTTAGAACATATATTATCACTTGTAAAACACATTAAATTAATTAAAAAAATAGATTAAAAAACTAAACTGATAATTAGGTGATTAAATATCTATTTTACCCTTAAATTAAATAAAAAAAACTTTAATACTAAATTACACATTTAAGTCAAGATTAGATATACCAAAACGTATATTTTTTCCATCCAAATTTTATCGACGCGAACCTCTTTAGTCTTTACAACCTGTACAACATATGAAGGGGCAAATCAGTCATTAAGCCGAGCCCAAATCAGGAATTGAGGAAAGATTTTAAAATCCGTCGGTGCCAGTCTCTGGTTATTCTAAAGCCGTTCTCCGCTCAAAGCAAACCCTAGGTCTTCTATTTGAAAGGGTTTTTAATAGCAATAATATAAAAAACTGTTAAAAGCAACGGAAAATCGAAGAAACCCTCTTTATAATCTGGATAGAATTTGGATTATCGAACTGGGTTCTATTTGTTAAATAAGCTAGTATTGTGGAAGCTGTGAAAGTCTTCTTTTTTTGGGGGGGGGGGGGAGTTTTCTGAAACAGAGAGATGGTAAGTGGGCCAAGAACCGAAGGGCTCTCACCACGAGTGAGCAAGACAATACAGTCAATCAAGGAAATAGTCGGTAATCACTCTGATGATGACATCTACGTTGCATTGAAAGAGGCCAACATGGATCCTAATGAAACTGCCCAAAAGTTGCTTCATCAAGGTTACCATTTTATTTCATTCTTCTGATTTTTTTTTTCATTTCTTTTGAGTGTTTTGAAAAATGGGTTTTGTTTGCTGTTGTAGTTGTTTCATGGACTTTTTGGTCAAGATTGGTATAGTTCTTGTAGCGCTTACTTTTGGACTCTGTTTTGGGTTTTATCGCGGTTTAGGGAATTGAGTTGTTTTACTTTGTGTTGTTTTTGTGTGCGAAAGTTGATTATTGTTTCAGGATGTTTTAGCGTGCTTGGATTTTTTTTTTTTTTTGCGTGGTCGGTGATACTTCTTTTAGTCTTTTGCTTTGACTTGGTGGTATTGCGGCTACATTTTCTGAGTGAAATATTTGAATTAATTCATATTTTTCTTATAACAGGTGTATTTCATTCTTCAAATTGAATTTTGAGTCTACTGATAAACAATCTATAGGTTCTTTCTTGAACTTTGTTTGGTTGCTCAGACATTTGGGGGGGGGGGGCAGTACAGTGTTAAATTTATTAGTGTAATTGAGGATCATAATCTAGGTTTACCAAGGTTGGTTGAATCCAGTGGACAAAGAGCAAACAGAAGTACCATGTTATGGTAATTTCTGCTTGGCAAGTAAGCAGCATATCCTTGTGTACATAATGAAAATGGCACTGTAATCCTTATTTTATATCAGAACTGGACTGCTTGTTTGATTTATCCTTTTTTTCCTCACTTACCAATATAAAAGAGGAGTGCGGTGTGTTCTGTCTTCAAATTGGTAAATTGGTCAACAGAAGTTGTTATTCTCGATCTTTATACGAGGTCCAAAAAATGATCATATCTTTTTGCATGAGCTTTGTAGATTGACTCTTTTGTTTAGGTGAAGCTTCAAATTTGTTTTTATAGATGTTTCTTATTTACATCCAATCTGATTGTTTCTTCTCAGATACATTTCATGTGGTAAGGAGAAAAAAAGATAGGAAGAAAGAGGTATGATCTTGTATATCATCTCAATATCGTTTTTGGAAAAAAATTCTGTGTTAATTTGCCTTTATTAGCAAGAGGGCTATGTTTTCCGATGAAACAAATCATAGATTTGGCTGTCTCTGATTTTGATGGCTGCTTCTTTCTGTTTTTGAATTCTTAGTTGTTCAATATCTTTCTGCTATATTCTTAGAAAAAAAATATCTTTCTGCTATTAATTTATATATGATATTATGCATATGATTGATTTTATATCCTTAGAGATTGAGACAACCTCGATTATTACTTGTTGCATCTTGAAATGCGAATCACTACAGGGTTAAAGTACAAAATTGTTTTGAAATGATGTTTCATTATGATAGATCATTGAGCACGAAGGTTCTATGGATCCTAAAAAAAATTCTGAGAATGTTGGTCAAAGGATGATATTTCGTACATATCCGAAACGTGGTCCTCGAAGAGGAGGTTATACTCGGGCTGCTTTGCCTGGCAATGCAGGAGTCAACCGAGAGTTTCGTGTTGTGAGGGACAACAGAGTTAATCAAATTGCAAATAAAGATATGAAACCTTCTTTGTCGCAATGCTCAACTTCTTTAAATGAGCAGGTGCCCATTAGTGTTGCTGATAAGGGGTATGCTATTTGGTAGTTATTTATTTCTTTTTGCTTGTTCCACTCTAATCTTGATTCTCTCGTTCCTTTTGCTTGTATTTATTGATATTATATTTCTTGTGGAATAGTGCACACTGAATATTCTTCTTCTATTACATTCTGCAGTTCAACTGGAACTCCAAACAATCAGAGATCCTTTAGTTCTCAAAGGTCATCTCAAACTTCTAGTGCACCATCCAGTTCACATGCCGGGCATGTCCGAGATGCAAATTCTGGTGGTGTTTCTAGGAAAGAAATAACAGAGCAAAAGCAAATTTTTAATCCTAATGCTGCTTCGCGGTCGCAGGCAGTTAAGCCCAATAACTTTCAAGCACATTCAGGCACTCAGTCATCGAGCAGCTCAGTTGTTGGGGTTTATTCGTCATCTACGGATCCAGTTCATGTGCCTTCTCCGGATTCCAGATCATCTGGTGCTGTTGGAGCTATCAAGCGTGAAGTTGGGGTTGTCGGTGTTCGCCGTCATCCTCCTGAAGATGACAGCAAAGATTCATCTGGAACAAATACTCTTTCAAATTCACTTGTAGGGAGGGACACTTCATCAGAGGCATTTCGACCTTTTCCTGCAATTTCCAGAGCAGATCGGGAGGTCCGGGATACTCACCGTGGTGCAGCTGAATCTTCCATGTCTGGTATTTCTGGCAGCAGGTCATTTGTGAACAATCCATATGGGGGCAGACAACATCAACAGGTTTTAGTTCATCAAAAGGGTACCATTTCTTTTCACTTTGTTTTAAGCTTCTTGAAAATCCGAGGAACATCTATGTATGTCGAAGTTAAGTATCCAAGGATGCAAGAGAAAATAAACCAGTGCTAATTTATTCTATTTTTGTGCATCTCCTTTGACCTAGTTTGGTTTTGCTTTAAACTCTTTTTTAGCAAATATGGCTGTCAGTAGGTTGTAGCTATTATAGCACTTAATTTGAATTTATTTATGAAGTTTATGAGAGCTTATCATTCATATTTGGTGCAGCTAACCATCATAACAAAGAGTGGAAACCAAAATCAAGCCAAAAGTCAAGTGTTAATAATCCCGGGGTTATTGGAACACCTAAGAAATCTAATTCACCTCCAGCTGATGATGCCAAGTACTTGGATTCTGAAACAGCTAAACTGCAAGAGAAGTTATCTCAATTTAACATCTATGAAAATGATAATGTCATCATAGCCCAGCACATCCGTGTCCCTGAGAATGATCACCACGGACTTACTTTTGGCAGCTTTGGTGTAGAAAACGATTCTTCAAGGAATTTAGTCCCTGGTTTTCATGCCTCTGGTGTTGCAGGAGACTTAAACGTGGAATCTGCTGCAAGGTTTTCCCTTTCTCCCAAATAGTAACTTAAAATTGACAAAGTCTAGAATTCAGATGTCAAGACCCAGTTTCTGATGTTCTACTTGTATTTGCTCTAAGCAGTTTGCCTGTGTCTTCTCCCGGCACTTCCAGTGATGACAATGTTGGCAAGCCCATTAACATTTTAGATGATCAACTTGGAAATTCTGGTTCTGACTCTCCAGCCTCTAGTACCGCATCCGAGCATCAATTGTCTGATAAGAAAGATGCTCCAATCCCCCAGAATCTGGACAGTTACACCGATATTGGAATGGTCCAAGATAACAGTCAATCCTATGCTCCTTCGGAGGCACAACAGCAGCAAGATCCTCCCGAATTACCCGGTTTTTCGGTAAGCATAACCTTTTAAAATGTGATTAGTGTCATATCCCGAATGGGTATTTATGAAATTTATATGTTGCTGAAACTGATATAAAGTAACTTTGATTTCTGGAATAACTAGCCTTTTCTTCATTTTCCCTTGCAATGGAACGTTCTAATATGGTGTTGGCTTGATAGCAGGCATATGATCCCCAAACTGGTTATGATTTGCCTTATTTTAGACCTTCAATAGATGAAACTGCAACAGGACAAGGTCTACTATCTCCTCGGGAGGTTAGTGCCCGTAACATGCACATTTAAGTGATAGTATTCATTCCTGAAAAGGCCTTTTGTTTTTATCACTTGAATTGATAGAAGTTTTTAATGATACTTAGGCCTTAAGCCTGAACGCCGCCAACACCCCCGCATCAACAACAATACCAATGATGCAGCAGCAACAACCTCAAGTAGCGCAAATGTATCCTCAAGTTCAGATGCCCCATTTTGCTAATCTTATGCCATATCGTCAGTTTGTCTCCCCGATTTATCTGCCACAGATGGCGATGCCAGGTTATTCCAGTAATCCTGCTTTCCCGCATCCGTCAAATGGCAGCAGCTACTTGCTCATGCCGGGGGGCAGTACTCATATTGGTGCAAACGGTGTCAAGTATGGGATTCAACAGTTTAAACCAGTTCCTGCAGGCAATCCTACTGGGTTTGAAAATTTTACCAGTCCGTCTGGGTATGCAATCAATGCTCCTGGAGTAGTTGGGAGCGCAACAGGTCTTGAGGATTCATCTCGGACCAAATATAAAGATGGAAATATCTATGTTCAAAATCAGCAGGTAAATAATTAGAATATGAGCCACAGATAAGCTAATATTGTAGGCTTTAGTTTTGACGTGCTTATGTGATGCACCTCGAATTTTCTGTAATTCTTCATAAGTTTCCGTGGCTTAATATAATGTTCTTTTGTCCTTTGTATTTATATAAATATATCTCACTTGGTTAGTTCAGTTGTCATTGCCTCTTGGCTAACTGCATTGTTATTTGACAGGCTGATACTCCAGATTTCTGGATGCAGAACCCAAGGGAGCTACAAAACATGCAATCTGCCGCATACTACAATATGCCACAAACACCTCATGGTTATATGCCATCTCCCACAGGCCATGCTTCCTTTAATGCTGCCGCTGCTGCACAATCTTCTCACATGCAATTCTCTGGGTTGTACCTTCCTCCTCTACAACCTGCTGCAATGGCGAACCCGCATCATCTAAACCCTGCAATGGGCGCTAATGTTGGTTTTGGCGTTGCTCCAGCTGCTCCCGGAGCTCAACTGGGTGCTTACCAACAGCCTCAACTGGGTCATCTTAACTGGACATCAAACTTCTGAATGGTATCAAGCTTAACCCTCTCTTGTAAGGGAGTAGTGAAGTAGCTTTAGAAATGATATAAAATATCTTTGTGCAATAACCCACAATCTTGTTAATTCAATGCTTAATGGTGTTTAATCTCTTTCAACTCCTCTTAAATTGCTTTAAGCCATCGATGGTCTATCTGCCTAAGCTTGATTAAAATGGAAAAACAAGAACTTCTAACTTATTACAACCCTTTGTAGTCTTTCACCTAAGCTTTCTTATGATTTTCATAATTCATTAACGTGTACCGTATCACTCAAGTGGTAAATCAATATATTTCATCCTCTTGTTTATCATTACTATTAGTAGTAATAGGAAGAATTATTACTGAAAGGGTTTTTTGTTTGTGATGTTTCTCTTGATGTTGGGAGCATGGTCTTTGCTTGAATGAAATCTCATTTGAGTGGATAACTTGATCTAGACCAATCGGTTGGGCGAGTCGGGTTGATTTTGAAATGTGTTGGGCCAGGTTCTAAATGTTTTGGGTCATTTCGTGTTCGGATTTTTTTCCCAGAGATGACTAAAGATAACTAAGGGAACATTGAATGTAACTTAATTGTTATGAAAATATACATAATATTTTAATCTCTGATGATGTCGATCTCTTATAGAAGTATATCTACCTATGATTTCATCATATCAAAAGTATAGCAAACTTTCCCATTTTCTTAAGGCTTAATACCAAAATAAGTGCTCATATTGTAATTTTTTTTTAAATAGGTGTCTAAACTAATTTTTGTTTCATCCATATGCCTAACGTTACAATCGTTATTCATTTAGGTGTCTGGCCAGTAATAGTGTTAATTTATTTAGGTGTCTGTCCAGTAATAGTGTTAATTTTTTCGTTAAATGACATGTGTCACAATTTGGTAATTTTAAAATTTTTATTTAAAATTAAAATTATATATATATATATATTAAGAAATAAAAAACACAAATTTTAAAATAAACTCAAACCTTTAAAAACCTTAATTTCAACATCTAAATTTACGTCGACCGTCTCTTTTGCCGTTGATAAAGTTCTACCCAACCTCTCATTCCCTCGTCGACCTGAAGTCCCATGAAATCGTGATCGATCGACTGTTTATTGACGACGAATCAACGTTTTAAATCGCCTGAACCCTAGGATTAAAATTGCAATCTTACGATTTCAACGACCAATCTACGAAAACTACGAAGGTGTATGAGTAAGAGGATGACAAGGACTATGTTGGTGGTGGTGGTAGTGGCCGGAAAGGTCGATGACAACATATTAAGGTTTGGGTTTGAGATTTTAGGTTGTTTTATAATATTAAAAAAAGTTAGTTTTTTATAAATATCATAATATTTTTAATATTTTATTTAAAAATAAATAATTTCAAAATCACCAGATCACTTAACGAAAGAAATTAACATCGTTGACGACCTAAGCACCTAAATGGGTAACATTTGTAACATTAGGCACCTGGATGAGATGAAAATTAGTTTAAGCACCTATTTGAGAAAAGCGATATAGTTTGGACACTTATTTTGGTATTAAGTCTTTTTTTAAAAACCATACATAATATTTTTTAGGGTAAAAGTGTGCGTTTAGTACTTAAAGTATTAGTTTTGATTTGTTTTACTACTTAATTTTTCATTTTTTTAAAAAAAAAATATACTCAATGTTTAGTTTTTGTTGCTGTTAAAAACTTAATAGATGGGCTTGTCCGTCACTGCGTCTTCAGTCATCGGTCGTCGAATTTTTCGATCGATAAAGCCTAAACTTTTCAAACTCGTACCTTTTCATTCTCTGAACGTAATTACAACATCCATTTCATCAGGAAATGTCTCAATTCCCTCAAATCATAATAAACTCCTCGATTTCTTCATCCTTTGAACTTCATAGTTTGTTGTTTAATGGACTTGAAATTGGATTATGTTGGTTGACACGTTATTCTTTTGTTGTCCATCATTCGGATTGAGTGTCTATCCACTGGAGTTATATCATGTTAGCCCGTCTATTAAAATTTTAATGGTGGGTATTAAAATGAAACAAATATAAAACATTAAGTATAGTTTTGAAAAAAATAAAAATTTAGATATTAAAACGGATCAGAACATATGGTTAAGTAGTAAACACAATCTACCCTATATTTTAGCATGCATAGACGAGCACTCTTAAGGGAAAGATATTGTGCATGGCTCACCCCAAGTTCCCCACAGCTCAGTACAAGGTTTTTTTGCCACTAGCTAGGCAAGCACCAATTTGTTATTATTTACACCTATGATTCTGTTTGCGCGCTCATGCCTTGTATCATATGTCAACTATTGTGTATGTTTATATATAATATCAATTGGATTAAACTCGAAAGCTATGTAAGGAAAAAAAATGCTAAAATTAAATTTAAAAACATACTTAGGTTAACTTAATCAGTGGACTTAAATTTTTAAAATTAAATAATAAAAAACTATTTTTTCTTAAGGAGTGGATTTGAAGACTATTATAACATATAAATATCAGTCCTACTACTCTCAAATCATCTTCTGTGTTCATCAGGCGTGTCTTTTTGGCTTTCATTACTTCTTTTTCTTTCTTCTTTTCCAAATTCTCCTTGTCTCTTTGTTTCTTTGACATAAATAATCATATTTGTTGCTGCTGCCATTAATCTGTCCTTCACTCTTCGAACCAGACAATAAAGACCAAACAACATTATTCTTCCCACTGTTCCATTATCTGTTCTTCTTTTCCTTTTGTTTGTTCGCCATATAAAAATGCCAAGACAAGATCGGTACCAAAGCAGGAGAGACAACACATCTTTCTCCTCGTCCCTTCTCGACGCCATCTGCCGTTCGATCGACGAATCGAACGGTGATAATAGATACGAAGATCTGATTTTTTGCAGAGACAAGACCATCATGAGGAAGGAGAAGCAAAGCAGTAGTTTGTTGAGACAAGGAGAAGTGAATGACAGCGTTCAACATGCTTGCATGATCGAGAAATGGACGCAAAAGAAACAAGTTAGCGGCGGCGGCGTCTGTGAAATTAAAGCCTTTGGGATGGATCCAATGTTGTTGAACTCGAGTTCGTCGTCATCGGATTCTAGCTGCGGCGGCGGGTTTTCGTCATCGGAGTCGGATTCTTTCTGCAGTGCAAAATCAAGATCGTCTACGTCTCATTGCCACCGGCCGAAATATATCCATGGCGGGGTTTCAACACAGAATGAACCAAATCACCATGAAATAAGTAGTGGTTTCAAAAGAACCAAGTCCAAGGCCATGAAGATTTACAGTGACCTGAAAACGGTCAAGCAACCGATATCTCCTGGTAGTAAACTCGCAAGCTTCATTAACTCGTTGTTCACTTCGCCGAAGAAGAAGAAGAAGAATCCGAAGAAGTCAGTCTCGGAAAAACCGACACCAATGTGTTCCTCGGCTTCCTCGTTTACGAGATCCTGTCTGTCGACGACAAAAACCACATCTTCAAAGGGGAATGCCGGGACAGGGACGAAGAGATCGGTTCGGTTTTGTCCGGTTAACGTCATTCTCGACGAGGATTCAAGGCCATGTGGGGAACTCAAAATCCGCCATGAAAACGAGCTTCAAGCGTCCATGAGAAAACCAGTCATGAACAAAGTGATCGAGTACCGCATCATCGAAGAAAATCGTAGGGTTGCCGAAGCTGCAAGGGAGCTTTTAAACAGTTACAGGAAGCAGAAGAACGAAGAGTTCGATATAAGAAATATCGACGACAACGAAGACGACGATGCAGCTAGTTATGCAAGCTCGGATCTGTTTGAATTGGATCATCTTTCTGCTATTGGAAACGAAAGATATTTAGAAGAATTGCCTGTGTATGAAACAACCCATTTTGATACTAATCGAGCCATTGCTGAAGGTTTGATTCTGTAATATCTAAACATTTTGGGGGTTTACAGCGAAAAAAATAATAGTATTATATAGTATCAATTTAATTACTTCCATCTTCTCTATTCTTATCACAATTCTTTGCTTCAGTTTGATCATTTTTCCATTTGAATTTCATATATAGGAATAATTGTTGAATTATTATTTTAGTCATTCTATTATATTAATAATTAAGATTTGATCTTCTATTTTAATTTAATCATTAATTTTTGTAATTCCACTAGTTCATTCAAACAATTAATATCGTTAAAATAATAATGTGAGACCTTTTGTTATTTGATCGTAAATTAATAATATTAACTATTTGGATCAACTAATAAAAATACAAAAGTAACAAGGTTAAATTATGTTAAATTAAAATATAGAGATTAAATTTTAAATTTAAACATAGTTAAAGGACCAAACAGCATTTGACCTATTAATAATTCAAAGAGAACCGGTGAGAAAATTTAAATGAGGTGAAAAGCTGAGGCAGAATTTCTAATCTCATCATCAAAAAAAAAAAAAAAAAAAAGCTTTGTTCCTTGTCAAATTTGTGGGTCCTCCATTGCTTCAACATAAACATTAGCACTCTTGGTCATTAGTCAAACAAGAAATGCATCTACATTTTAACTTTTATTTTTTCTTGGTATATAAAAAAATCAAACATATAATAATATTTACATGTTTTGAAATATAAAATTTAATTTTAATAAAGGAAATCAAATTTTCGACATTTTTAAAATGAGAATGGAAAGGATTTTATAAATAGTCTCAGTAGTAGAAGACGACGTGTTTTCTATAAGTGATCGGATAAAATAATTTAATAAAAAAAAAAATTAAAATGGAGGGGAGAGGGGTATATGAATGGCCCCCATAGAAGGATGACAAGAGATCTAATCTTTGATCCTCAAAGTTCTTAATGTCAAATTTGGCTGGCATCCATGTTAATGGGCAGTTAAAAATGATTTCCACCATTAACCTATTACTATATTATACCCATTAAAAGTTTAAATTTGATAAATAAATTCCATTTGGAAAAGCCCAAATTATGGTTTTTGGAATACGTTAATTTGACCTTATTCCATTCAGAATAACTTTAGATCAGATTCACACATGATGCGATTTAAACCGGAATAAATTTGAATTCAAAAGAATTGAATTTGAATAGAAAAATAATGTATTATATGTATAGTACACTAAACACTCTTGGCTCACGGAAAATATCATTACAGAGGGAAATAATATTTTCCGAAATTACAGGCCCGTGTTTGGTTCACGGAAAAGATTATTACCGTGAAATAATCTTTTTCTAATAGTAACATTTTTTTTGTTAAAATAGTGGGAATATCATTAACTATAACTTCTTAGGTATTAGACGATTCCCATTAATTTAGACAATAAAACCCCTAGACTAATGAATTCTTTTTATAAGGATTCTTCTCGATTCTTATTTTTTGTAGTTCACTCAAAATTATAAACATAATAATAATATACAAATAATTTTATTTAGTAAAATATTAATAAGTTTGAGTATTTAAAATTATTTATAGTTTAATACTAAATTTAAAAAATATATATATATCACAAGGATAATTAAGTCGCATTCAAGTAATTTTATATTTCTCTAACAAAACACTGTAATTTTATATACATGCTAAATAAACCAAACAATATAATACAATATTCACATAATAATCTTATTTCCAAAGATAACCACGTTCTGTTAACTAAATGCCCTTAGAGATCATTAAATTATACTTAAATAATCATTGTGGTCACTGATCTTTTAAAGATTACTAATACTGCAATAAATTAAAAAAATAATGATTATTTTATAAATATTATATAAATTTAATGATATCAGTTAATAGGAGCACAATGGCATTATTAAAGCAACAGAATAAAATTATGCCTGATTAAAATTATAATTTAATTTTTTTTTGTTTAAAAATAATTGCCTTTAATAAGGGATCGGCTTGTTATTTTAGTTTAAAACAAATTCAGAATTAAACAAAAGGAAATGGGTATTTAGCCGTAAAACAAATGATTATCTGTCCAAAGTATTCAAAAGAAATGAAGATGTTTAAGATACACCTAAGAGGGCCACTAAATCTTAACAGTGATTGGATATCCTAATTAGGTTATCATGACATGTACTTAATTAATTAATCAGAAGGTATACCTTTAGAGTTGGCAAAGACTAAAGGAAAAGCCTATTATTCTATCCTATAGTCAAAAGTGCTATAGGTTCTAAATTGTCTATCAATTTCATAAATGTTAATAATAATTAAAAGTCACGATAATATGTTGGTCTAGTAGAACTATGAATTATATTTTTTTTCTAAGTAAGGTTATAGTTTAAATTTTGATATTGTGGAATATTTTAAAGATTGGATTGTTTGAAAATTCATCTAAAAGATAGATTTTAAATAGCTATCTAAACCCTAGCCGCTTTCTTCCTCCTCTCCATTCTTTTTCTTTTCTTTTATTTACAATTTGTGTCATCTTCTATAGATCAAATCAGATTTTTATTTTTTGATTTTATTTAACTGACAACGGTACCGATTTTGATATTGGTTATCGACCGTTAGTTGTCTTTTCTTTTTATTTTTTTAGTTTTTTTAATAATAATAAGTTTGTCTTTGTGGCACGCTTATCTCTGTCTTTTGGTAGTTTTCGGTTATTTGGCCGTTATTTTCGTTTATATTTTTATCAGGGTTGGATTTGATATCGCCACGACTGATCAAGATGGAGTTTTTTTGTTATAATGTTGATCTTCCCTGCTTTGGACCATTGGATTGATTTGGATATGTGTTTTGTGTTTCGTGGATGGTTTTTTTCATGTCGCTTGACTCTGATTTGCGATTTGTTGGTGGTATTTCAATAACTTCATCCCCTTTTATGGTTCGTTTGTTGATACAGTCAGATTTGTTCGTATCTTTATTTTGTTCGAGCATTTTGGTTATGTATTTTTTTAACATTTCCCTTCTTTGGTCTTTGTGTGATCTAGGTGGCTAGTTTTTATGTCAATGATTATAGGAATATGTCATAATTATAATTTAGTTTACGTTTACGGTTCTGCTCGTAAATCTTCATTGTAATTCTGAATATTTTCAATTTTTAATAAAATTAGCAGCTTTCTATCAATTTTTTTGATATTATGAATGAAATAAATTGAATTAAAACTATTATTTCTATTAATAAATCTTTGTAGTACATAATTTAAATTAATTAATCAATAGATTAAATATGAGTGATTAATCCAAATATATACATATATGTAATGAGGCAGCCATTTTTTCTATTTTTTCAGAGAATGTTAATTAGTATTTTCTCCCTTTGTAGAGCGCAAGGCTCTTAATCTTGTGGTCGTGGGATAGAGTCTCACTGAGGGCAATTCATAACGGAGGTCTTCCACGGAAGCTGCTCTCAACCTGACGTTGGGGGCAGCCTACTATCCTACCTCCCCTTACCCCATTACATATGGGAATAGGATCAGCTAAAAAAAATCAAAGATTTAAGATCCTCTTCGATAAATTAACAACCATTCTTTAATTTGTTTTCTTAGAATTTCCCACCTTTTCAATTATTAATGTTTTATGATAAGGGTTGTAATAATTATAAACTCGCTCTTAATTTCATGTTTTTATTAATCTATGGTAATTATAAGATAGTATCAATTTAAAGATAATTTTTCAAACATTTGATATTAAATACTCACACATCTGACATTCTTAGTGCTTGAATTCGAAACCTAAAAAAATAACAACAATTTATTTTTTAAATATACATATCTTGGTATGAGACTATTGGATAATTACCCTATTGTGTAGGGTTTGTAGTTAGAATATCCATACATGAATGAGTGTAGAACCCTCGTACAATGGCTTCATAATTTAAGATTAGGGTTATTATTTTTTTAATGTCTTAAGTTCGAGCACGACCTTTATTTATGTATATAAACATTTATTGTTAAATGATTAGAGTCTTTTAAATAAATATTATCTTATATTTTCATGAAATTAATAAAATAAGGTGTAAACTTAAAATATAATTGACTTTTGGCTAAACAAAAAAATAAGTGTCTAAACTTTACCATGAAATACAATTTCATGCCTAAAGAGTTTTTCATTAAAAATATGTGTCTAACGTTTCAAACTTTATACTTTTAGGTGTCTATATCATAATGGATATTAAATTTGGTTGTTATATAATACGTGTCACGCATATAAAATTTTAAAAATAATTTTACCCAAAAAATAATATTATAATAAAAAAATCCCAAAATTTTATATTTTTGTCGTCAGTCCGTCACCGTCTGCCCGTGATTGTCACTGTTGACACCATCAGAAGCGTCTTGTCGCCGCGACCAAAACCCAGCCTCCCACCGTGAACTGTTTCGATCGTCTTAGAAATTTTGCGAAGGGTCACATGATTTTAAGGTTTTTTGTTTATGTTTTCCGGCGATTTCGAGAATACAACCGTCCGTACGTACGGTCACCACTATTATGTTCTTTGTCGTGCTCCGAACAAAACCTGATTAATGGTGACCATTCGCCGTCGGAGGTGGGGCGACATAAGGGAGAGGGACGACGAAGGAGAATAGGGGTTTATTTTTTTCTTTTTTTAAATAATATTGTTATTATTAAAAAATAAAAAAAATATAAAGTATGCACCTAAAAAGTATGTTAAGAACATATTTTAGCGAAAATTTATTTATACACCAAATCCTATTTCGAGGTATAATTTAGGCACGTATTTTTATATTAAGCCTTGATTTTTTATAACTATCAATCTTTATTTAATTGATAAATTTAGTTTTTTATTTACACTCATCCAATGATCATAAAAAGTATAAAATTAAAATTTTTACATTACATACAAATGGATCATAACTAGGGATGGACACGGGATTCGAACTCGACGGGTTTCGACCCAATCTGACCCTATCGGGTTGGATTTTTTTTAAATAATTGGTTTCGGATTCGGGTTTTCTAGAAATTATGCTTGGGTCAG